AACTGTTTATATGCAAAGTGTTGCCGAAATGACAACATTGAAAAAAAGTGACAACGTAATACAAATGGCAAGCTGTTCTTTTGATACTCATTTTCAAGATACTTTTGTAACGTTGATGAGTGGTGCTGGTTTAGTTATGCTACATCCGCATGGTAATAAAGATTTAACTTATCTTATACATGAATTAATGGACAAAGATGTTACTTTTCTGGATGCTGTACCAAGTTATCTTGATACAATATGTCAACATCTTGAAATACAAAATGCAAAAGAATGTTTAAAGAAATTGCGAACATTGTGTAGTGGAGGTAAGCCTACTCGATTCGATAATTTTTAATGAGACACAAAAGGATTTATTTCATTTCTAGGTGATGTTCTAACAAATCAAATAATGTCTCGTCTAAAAAAATATGTATCTATACCATCATTATCATCGCCGATTGGCTGTCAACTATGGAATGTGTATGGGCCAGCTGAAGTAACAATTACTACAACATATTTTCAAATAGGATTCAATTTTGATTGTGATAAACAAGTAATGTCAATTGGAAAACCACTTCCTAATTATCACTGTGCAATTATGGATGAATATTTTCAATTTGCTCCTGTTAATCAAGAAGGTGAATTATTTGTTGGTGGTGCATGTGTATTTGCTGGATATTTTGGTCGTAATGATTTGACAGCAAAAGCTCTTCTTGAAATAGATGGCGAACTATTTTATCGAACAGGTGATCTTATTAGAATGAATCACAATGGTCTTCTGCATTATCAAGGAAGAAAAGATCATCAAATCAAATTGCGCGGACAACGAATTGAACTTGGTGAGATAGAACGCTGTTTACTTAACGTGACATATATATCTGCTTCTGTTGTTATGAAATGGAATGATGATTATTTAGTTGCTTATGTTCAATCTTCTTCTCATACTAATGAAGAGGAACTACGTCAACATTGTCAATCTCATCTTCCACCACATATGGGTCCATCAATATTCATTATTCTTGAGAAACTACCTTTGAACCAAAATGGTAAAATCGATCGAAAACAACTTCCTTCACCCAACTTTTCTTTACCGACTTTGTTGTCGCCCGATAAGTCTGATACTCCTCTCAATCAGTTTGAAGAACGTATACATACAATTTGGTGTCAAGTTCTTCATTCTAATGAAATTCACATTTCTAGAACTACCAGTTTTTTCAGTGTTGGTGGTCATTCACTGTTGTTTATTGAACTTTATCATCATTATCAGTCAGTATTTAGCTTTGATGCTCATTCACTTTCGATTGCGCCATTTCTCCAGCAACCCACCATTTGTCAACATTCACAATTACTTCAGACAGTCATAATGAATAATACCAAGCCAACACAATGGCACACATTACATATAAATGAAGGTAGAAATATTCACTAGGAGATTATTAAAATAGTTTCTATCATTTAATTCACAGGTAATGCCTCTTTTGCTCAAGAACGTATCTTTCTTGATGAACAAGTTCGTTTTTCGAGTGATATTGCTATCTATAATGAACTGTCCACTTTACAAATTGTTCAAGGATCATTATCATTCAATCGTTTATTACAAGCATTTCGATTTGTTTTGAATAAACATAAAATATTACGTACATCTCTTATTTTTAACAATGATAATGGTAGTTTGAAACAATGCATCACAGATATACATGAAACATTCGCAATAACTATGAATCAAACATTTCAAAATGATAATGAACTTTGGAACATTATTTATCAAACAACTATTAATCCTAATCTCTTTGATTTATCGACTGGTCATGTTTTTCATGCTGAAATTCTGAAACATCAAATATCTTTAAATGAAAATGAAAACGAAAATGATAGCAATGAGTGCATAACTAATTCTGATGTTCTCCTCATTGCTACTCATCATGCAGCATTCGACCGAGCAAGTCATTCAATCTTTTTCAATGATTTGTGTTTAGCTTATAATACTAATGCAGTATCCATAGGAGATGATAATGAATCACTGAAATATATTGATTATAGTGTACATGAACGTCTAATCGATATGTCAACATCTCGTGAATTTTGGTATTTACAGTTAGAAGAATACAATTTGGAATCTCCATTATCATTACCAGTTGATCGACATCGTTCATCTAATGATCATCGATCGGGTTCTGCTTCTGTCACTCAAATCTCTTTTGACAACGAGATTTCACAATCATTTCTTGATTATGCTTCTACACATCATGTGACACCATTTCAGTTAGGTCTGAGTGTTTTATATGCTTTTCTTTTCAAGTTAACTCATGGTGAAAATGATTTATGTATTTCTTGTCTGAATGCTAATCGATATCGAAATGAACTACAAAATATAATTGGAATGTTTATTTCGACACTACCATACCGTGCTCAACTTGATTCGCATTGTTCATTTGATGATCTTATTAAATATGTACGAGCGAAGTGTTTATCAATTCTTGAACATTCTCATTATCCACTTCAACATATTCTTGCTAGTTTACATGTTAATCAATCAAATATTTCATTTCTTGAGACAGTATATGACTTTATAACAATATCGTCACAGAGCGATGAATTATCTTTGGATGGAGCAAGTTTCAAACAAGTGTCATTTG